CCCACACGCCCACACGCCCACACGCCCACACGCCCACACGCCCACACGCCCACACGCCCACACGCCCACACGCCCACACGCCCACACGCCCACACGCCCACACGCCCACACGCCCACACGCCCACACGCCCACACGCCCACACGCCCACACGCCCACACACACACACACACACTTGGCCCCTTGACACGTTTCCACCGTTAACGCATAGCATTGCAACCCAAGCTTAGGTGGCCTCGCTCCACGTGCGGAACCCTATGGTGGACAATATCAGGGCGATGTTTTGTGGGCACTTGCAAGTTTTCTCTGTTTGTTTGGTATTTTTTGTTTGAGGTGGGATATCAGCAAAAGGCTCCCTGGAGTGTTTGTGTTGTCGTTTCCTGGAGGTGTCGCGCGTGTTTCGTGTGTTCGTTCTTGTTATACGTTTTTTTGCCTTTGTTTGCCGGGGGCGTTTCAATTCTTTTTTGGCAGCTCTGGTGGCTTGTCGGCTTTGGCGGCATTCGCGAGTTTTCGTGGCTTTTTGGTGGCGGCTTTCGGTTGCTTTTGGCGGCTTTTGCAGATTGTTGTCTAAACCGACCCCAAGCCGATCCTAACATCACCCTGAAACCTCCCTAAACCCTAAACTTGCCACGAACCGACCCAAAGCCGACACCCGCATAAAGCTAAACCTAAACCAAGAGCTCGCTCGTGCTGCCAGAGGTGCTAAACCAAGCTTCTAGTGGTTGAGGATGCTGGTGCAAAATGCTGGACATACAGCATATTGGCCCCTGACACAAAGGGCAACATGTTTTAACATAAAGCACAACACCATCTCCACCATTCATTTACACAAATGTTTCTGGAAGTCCCCGTTGTTACACCATAAACTTCAAATCTTCGGACACCAGCGATGGGGTTTGCATCGTGCTCGCCAGTCTCCGCGCCTGAGATCTGGAAGTTTGCGGGCTACAAGGACACCAATAGGGATGACCCAGGCCATACCGAGGAGGGATGCTGCGGATGGCAATCTCCGACGGATAAAACCCGATTTGACTACTGGTTGATCAACTACCAATTCCAACTGGTGCTTGGCGCACTTTGTGCATCCACAGTAGCATGGCTGTTTGTCGGATGTGCCTTCCCTTGAGTCCAACCCTCAGTCCGACTGCCCTCCTGGAATCAGGTCATGCAAGCAAAAAGAAGGCTCCCCAACCTAAGTCATGTGGAGCATTTTCAATCCGCCATCTCGTCTCAGTGGTGGCCAACACATATCACTTGTGGTGAATGCATTGCAAGGATACTGCAGTCGCATCTTTCCAGTTGTGTTTGCCCCGCATGTCTGTCAGACTGCCAGGCACCATCAAGCGGAGATTTGTCTCTGCTATCCTTTCCTGCCTTTGCTCGGTGCCGCGCCCAGTTTTTACGAAGAGGCACTCTGTTGAAGAGGGGGCCGATGACTCTGCGGCTGGGTACGTGTCCAAGCAGGCGCCAAAAGCAAATTGAACAAATGCCGTTTTTCCTTTAGTTTTTCTCTCAACAAACCTGAAACGCGTGCACAAACCACAGGCCCAGAAATTCCTGGACCATGCCGAGCCTTTGCTCTTCGCAGCCTGATATCGCCAATGAATCGTGTCTTTCCTACAACTTTCGGATGCACGTTTAGGGCTGCGGAACTATTCAAATGCTCGTGGAAACGTTCGCCGTTCAGACCGGGTGCTCGGGCTTATAGATCTCCAGTGTCCTTCCTTTTGGTTGTCTGACTATAGCTCTTTTGTGCTTCCGGCCAGCCGGCCACGGCCACGGCACGGCCACGGCCACCCGGCCACCTGGCCACAG